TCAGAGGTTATGGGGACAACTGTTTCAGGGGTCTTGACAGAGGACCTATTTTTTCTTCCCCTAGTAGCCTGAGATGTGGGCTCAGGGGTGACAGGATGGTCTGTGGAGGCGGAAGCCTGGAGCTCAGGGGCTGTGGGGATAACTTGTTCAGGGTTCTTGACAGAGGATCTATTTTTTCTTCCTCTAGTAGCCCGAGATGTAGGCTCAGGGGTGACAAGCTGGTCTGTGGAGATGGAAGGTTGGAGGTCAGGGGCTGTGGATACAACTGATTCAGGGGTCTTGACAGAGGACCTATTTGTCCTGCCCCTAGTGGCCCGAGATGTAGGCTCAGGGATGACGGGCTGGTCTGTGGAGGTAGAAGGTGGGAGCTCAGGGGTTACAGGGACAGTTGATTCAGGGGTCTTGACAGAGGACCTATTTGTCCTGCCCCTAGTGGCCCAAGATGTATGCTCAGGGGTGACAAGTTGGTTTGTGGAGGTGGAAGGCTGGAGCTCAGGGGCTGTGGGTACAACTGTTTCAGGGGTCTTGACAGAGGACCTATTTGTCTTGCCCCTAGTGGCCTGAGATGTGGGCTTGGGAGTGACAGGCTCGTCTGTGAAGGTGGAAGGGTGGGGCTCAGGGGCTGTGGGGACAATTGTTTCAGGGTTCTTAACAGAGAATCTATTTTTTCTTCCCCTAGTAGCCTGAAATGTGGGCTCAGGAGTGACAGGCTGATCTGTGGAAGTGGAAGGCTGGAGCTCAGGAGCTGTGGGGACAACAGTTTCAGGGGTCTTGACAGAAGACCTATTTGTCCGGCCCCCAGTGGCCTGAGATGTGGGCTTGGGAGTGTCTGGCTGGGCTGTGGAGGTGGAAGGGTGGGGCTCAAGGGCAGCAGAGGTAGCTGGAAAGGGTGTCATCCTGGAGGACTTCCGAGTTATGATTTTAGGCTTTGGATGAAAAGGCTCCAGCTCTGAGGATAAGGGAGTCTCTGGAGCTTCCTGATTCCCATTTTGCCTGGTCTTAGGAATGGTTAGCTCGATAGAAGGTGGAAAGTGAGAAAGAAGGGGCTGAGGTGCAAGACGTTTCTGGCTCTGAGAGTTAAGGGGCTTTAGGGGTGGGGCTGATGTTTCAGGCACTGTAGGAGGCAGACAAGCATCTGGAGATTCCTGATCACCCTGGGGAGAAACAGAAGCAAGTGAGGGGAAGGAAGTGGAGAAAAGAGATACAGCTTGGATACTGTTCTTGATAACTTGTTTATGGTCAGATATGCTCACTGGATTTTGGCTGGGCACGGTGGCTCACGCCTGTAATCCCAGCACTTTGGGAGGCTGAGGCAGGTGGATCACCTGAGGTTAGGAGTTAGAGACCAGCCTGGCCAAG